CCTCCACCTACATGCTCATCGTGATGACGCTGGACCGCTACATGGCCGTGTGCCACCCGCTGCGCACCCTGCAGCAGCCCAGCCGCCAGGCCTACGTGATGATCGGGGCTACGTGGCTGCTCAGCTGCCTGCTCAGCCTGCCCCAGATCTTCATCTTCTCCCTGCGGGAGGTGCGCCAGGGCTCAGGGGTGGTGGACTGCTGGGCAGACTTCAGGTACCCATGGGGAGCCCGAGCCTACATCACCTGGACCACACTGTGCATCTTCATCCTGCCCGTTGGCATCCTAACCGTCTGCTACAGCCTCATCTGCTACGAGATCTGCAAGAACCTCAAGGGCAAGACCCAGAGCGCTGCCCCCAGCACGGGGGGGCCTGCAGCAGCTGCCCCTCCTGCTCCCTGCTCCTCTGAGAAGAGCGGGCAATGCTCCAGCGGGCAGCCCTCGCGGGTGAGCAGCGTGCGGACCATCTCCCGTGCCAAGATCCGCACGGTGAAGATGACCTTTGTCATTGTGGTGGCCTACGTCGCCTGCTGGGCACCATTTTTCAGCATGCAGATGTGGTCGGTGTGGGATGAGGATGCTCCTGATGACGGTGAGTAGGGGTGAGGATGCTGGGCTGCAGCCCACAGCAGGCGCAGAGCCCTGGGCACCCGAGGCACACAGCATGCCCATTGCATTTTTAACAAACGAGCTGTCTTATTTTGTCTTTTTAAAAATCACAGGGAAGGCTACAGATTTGTTCCCCAGTAGTATTTATAGAAAATATTTTCCAGAGTCAAATCATTGCTTTCACCAGAAAAGCCACTGAAAAGCCATGACTTCTGACCATCAGCTACAGGGACGTGTAAAGATGTTATGTGAACACCTTTGCCATGTGTGCTTCTTCCCTCATGTGGGAAATTGCTTCAGGAGCTGCTGTGTTTGGTATGTGGCTGCAGGGAGGGTTTTAATTGTGCCTGCTGCTCCCATCCTCGGCTCGGACTGCCTCCTGGAGCAGCCGTGCTGCTGGAGCAGGTCCTTCACATGTAACACCGAGCGCCTGTAAGGCTTTTGCTGAGCCAGCTGCAGAGGTTTCAGAAGTGGATTTCTGATTTAATAGGTTGACTTTTTCTGGAAGTTTTCAGTAGCTCTCCTAGCCTGTTCGTGGGTAGAAGGATCTTTAGCCAAGATTGAAAGGCCTCTGGGAGATGCTTTGGCCAGCAAACAGGCTGAAGGAAGGTCCAAAAGCTGCTGGGTCTCATCTCCCAGCACTCTCCCCAAGGATGTGCTCCAGCGCATCCCCATTACAGTGTATCACCCACCTGCAAACCTCAGCCAAGGGTAGAGCCTGGCTCTGCCTGCCATGCTGCTGCAAACTCTCCTGCCCAAAGAAATGCCAGTCAGATGGGATGGGAATGGGACAAAGGACTCACGCCCGAGCCAAAATGAGCCCCAAGGTCCTGCCCATTGCATACTGGGACCCTGTCCAGACCATGCCCAGCCTGGTGGATGTTTCAGCTCTCTCCCTTGCCTTCCCAGAGTCCACCAACGTGGCTTTCACCATCACCATGCTGCTGGCCAGCCTCAGCAGCTGCTGCAACCCCTGGATTTACATGTTCTTCAGCGGGCACCTGCTCCAGGATGTGGCACACTGCCTGTCCTGCTGGGGTGGCCCCCGGCCCAGGCTGCGGAGACAGGCCTCCACCGGGAGCCTCTGCAGCAGAAAAACCACCATCCTGAGCCACAGCCACCACACCAGCCCTGCCGGCCTCCCCCCGCACGGGGGCCTGCACGGGAGCAGCACCAAGGACTTCTACCCACCCTGCGAGGAGGTGATAACCGAGTTGGGCACGCTCTAGGCTGCGGATGTCCCCAGGCACATCCCTCCACTGGAGACAGCTGCCACCAGATGCAACACCACGAACGTTGTCACGCCAAGCTGTGTCTCTCCCCACCTAGTAGCATCTCATTTTGCAGAACTGGGTGCTTAACCCAGAAAGCATCACTGTCCGTCTTGTCCTTGTGTGCTTGCTACTGTGCACGCTGCGTCTGCTGTGTGCATCGGGGGAGACGGACAGAGCCCCACCAGC